GAGCATTTATCTATTATACATTTAATGATTCAAGAAAAACAAAAAAACAAAAAACAAAAAAACAACGAGACTCCAATTGTGCATCAACAATAGAATATATATTGAAACAATAACATACAAAACAATCATGCATTGGTGTGTAGTAATTAAGGGAGAAAAAGTTGCTTCCCTTCAACTGTATTCTGATTAAGATTGAATGTTCAAAAGAATTTTTCTTGAATAAGAATTTTCAGGATTCTATGTTGAATAGAGTCTGGTGTTAGAATAGAATACAGTTAAGTGTGTTGTTTTGAGAAAGTAAGAGAGTTCTGGTTCATGAACTTGGCTTAGTCACAGAGAGGAAGAATATGTGTAATGTGATGCAAAAATCTGTGTCTGTGTGTGCGTTGTGAGTAAAGTCGTGGATTTGTGTAGACAGGCGTAAATGGCTGGACTCTACTGACGGTTGTGGAAAATACTGCTTTTTTTAAGACTGCCGGTAGGCTACAAGCGAAAAAGCGGGAAAGTTGATTTAGCACAAAAATGCTTGATTGGTTAAAATTCAACCAATCACTGATTTTGTAAGAAAGAAACATGTGAGCAAGTTCAGAGCAGAAAAATTCAAAGTGGTGACTGCGATTGCTAAATTGTCTTATGGAAGGGCAGTATCGATTTACTAGCCAATCGCAGACGAATAAATTGTGGGCGTGAAAAGCGTATCAGTCGCTACAAGATCACATAAGTTTCATAAGATGTAGGTACCCTTCTCAGTTGAAATTGAAAAATCAAATTAACTTCTCCACACGTGTTTCGCAAAAGTAAAAGCCTTAACAGTAGAGAACAATGCTTAACTCAAATAACGCAACTTAATTGTGTTATAAAATAAAATAAGACATATCTCGGCTGATTTACAGGCAAATACTCAAGAGCGAGAACCGGATGTGAACGGGACAAAGCCCCGTCACAAAATGACCATTATCTTTCTTTACAAATGTTTCCGACACACGTGTTCCGGTCGAAAAATAAAATAATATTTAAAGTGCTCTATTTTTCGTCCAATAAAAATGCTTCCCTCCTAATTATACTCGCTTCGTTTCTCGAGCCTATTAAGCCATAAAAAACGCTATAAAGGGGTCACACGGAAGTTCAACAGGCAGTCAACAGGTGGCCAGCGAACAGACCTGACGGTCAGGCCGAGCGATCAGCAGCAGGGGCGTCAACCACCGTCAACATGTGTGAACTACTATGAGAGATCGACCAGATCCGAAAGCCGGCTTATGAACTTTACCACAAGATAGCTGTCCCAAACCCTCACGTTCCTGTTGAAATAAACCACGTAAATCTATTTCTACTGTTGTCGTATTTCTTTCTTGCAACCATACGCTTGTCTATAACAATTGTATTCTGGTTGGTCTTCCGTACTTTATAATTATAGCCCGATTATAAAAACAAAATTACATTTCTTAATTACTGCGGATCTTCAGATTAGTGAAAATGATACAATTTACAACGTGCAAAAAAAAAAAAAGATCTATTTCATAAGGACATTTAGGAAACCCAGTGCGGCTTTTAACTAATTTTATAATATTTTAACAACTTAAATGTAAAAATCTATTATAATTAAAGAAATAAATAATTGTATTAAAAGTTGATTTTTCATCGAAAATTTTTTTTGCTTTCAGAAAATATTGTCCATATTCATAAAAACAACTCAAAGTAAATAAAAGCATTTGAAATTAAATATCTTTGTTTTATTGAGTTTTGTATGTTACACTTTAGAGCTGATTTTCAGGTAGGGGGGATCCAATTAAAAACAAAAAAAAACATGATTTGCATTCTTCAAAGGCTTGTGCCTTAAACTATTGTAATCACTAAACTCGATGCGATCGAATTTCTAGCGTTTTAATAAAATTAGTTATGTGGGGAGTAATAAATATAAAAAAAAAATTTCTGCCATGACTTTAATAAAAAAAAAATATTTATAATAATTTCGATCATCTGTGAATAGTTTCTGAAAGTTTCATTCCGACAATTATTTTTATTTTTGCAAGATTTTCCAAATTAATGTCTGTCATACAAAAAAAAAAAAAAAACGTGCTAAAAATTGTATATGTTATTTTACTAGTTCCGGTGATACAATGAGAAACATTTTAATCAAAATATAGAATGTTCTAAAAAAAAAGGAAAATTTTTTTAAAATAATTAAAAAAAAACCTTTGGTCTTTCCTCTTAATAATAACATAAGCATTTAGACGATAAAGTTTTGTTTTCGTCAAGTTTGGCGTCTTTTTCATCATGCTAGGCTATTTATTTTTAGCGATCTCATGGAGGTATACTGTATGCAGTATAGTACGATCAATGAGGATTGACGACCGGAAACGACAGGTTGATGTACTAATATCAGCGTGGCCAAAGCACATCATTAATAGAGAGTACTAATTTAAATTTGTTCAAATACAGTTTATGAGTAAACTCATAAATTAAATGACAAAGAAAGAAGGTAAATAAAAACATCAACCAGGAACATATGAAACACGCTCATGCGAGAACGTGTGTATGTGTGTATGTGTGTGTGAACATTTGAAAAAATTCTACTTAGACATGTTTCACGAATGAATCTACATTAGCCAGAAAAAACGTTCTTGATATTGAACTTGATTTTTCATTTTAACTGCATCGTTATAGAAATTGGAGTTTTTAACTAATTTCAGAACAGTGTTTAAATTTTATTGGTGTCTTCGCACATTCGCTAAAATGTGCATACCATGATGAAAAAAAAAATGCCTCAAATGAATAAAAACAAAGTTTTAAAGTCAAAATCTTTATGCGAAAGCGAAAAGATTAAATATTTTTTATTATTAAATTATATTTTTGTTTCTTTTTAGAACGTTCTAAATTTTAGTTAAAAATCTGCGGGTGAACATTTTTAGCGTCTTTTTTTGCGTTGAAAAACACATTGGACATTCATACGAAAATCAAATAATTGTCGGATATTAATGAAACTTAGCACTTATTCACAAATACATTAAATTATTTTAGAATTTTTTTTTTAAATCTTGGTGAAAACATTTTGGTTTACCGCCACTTATTATAATTTATGAAAATTCGAGAAATTAATTTTTGCGCCTCTTAATGTTTATGCCGAACTTACTTGGAGCATTTAATCATTGTTTTCTTTATTTTTCTTTTTTTTTTTTTTTTTGTAAAATAGAACCCCCAGTTACGGAAAATCTACTCTGAAAAGTGAAATGAAAGTAAGATATTATTTAATTAGATAAGCTTTTAATTGCTTTTAAGATATACTATGGACACTAGGCTAAAGAATAAAATATTTTCGATGAATATTGAATTTTTAGAAGAATTGTTTTCATTTTTTTTAAAAACTTTTATTTAGAATAATTTATAAAGTTTTAAATCTTTTAAAAATTCTGTATTAATTTGTACAGGTTAAGTGATATTGTTATTAAGTTAAAACTATATTTACTAATCATAAATGGAAAAGCCTACTACAATTCATCGACCCCCAATATTTTAAAAAGAATTTTGAATTATTTTTTGTGTGTGTATATATGTAACGATTTTTGTAAATACGGACGAACGTACACGACACTATCAAAAATAAGAGCGATAACTATAGTAAGTTTAAATCCAAAGTACCTAAAATTCAATAAAACATTAGATTACACAGAATATTTTCGTAATTTTTTTTTAGATTATTAAGTAGTTAAAAATTTTTATAAAAAGTCGCTCACTTTATATTCCTCAAGAACTTTTTACAGTTATGCCCACCGTAGAAAAAAATCAATAAACTTCCGTGTGTTAATCAAGCTGTCAACCTGCGAACACATTATAAATAAACATCACCGTGTTAAAAAAAACATTTCTTCAATGTTTTAAAGTAAAATATTTGTTTAGGATCATATTAATTAAACTTTATTCAGCTAATACTCCTCAAATAAACTTTCAGAAAAGTATATTTTAGTTTTGAAATATTTTCTAATAAAGAGATTTTGATAACATGGCTAAAAACGGCGCTAAATCAGCGATTTGAAAACAACATCTCTTTCTAGTCAATTAAAATTAGTTTTGGAATACAGCAAAGTATTTTGCTTGTTGGACATATTACATTTAATCTATTAGTTTGAAATTACAACTAAACTAAAAGCTTCAAGAAACCTTTCATTTAAAAAAAAAAAAAAATTCTAAACCCCATTTACTGTTAAAACCGCCTCGGTTCTTGCCTTTCTATCTGTTTGAACCTGTGGAATAAACCACGTTACCTTTTTACCCCTTTGCAGAACAATCCATTCTTACACCCACACACCTGTTATCCAATCAAAACACTAGTTCTGACAAACTCAATTTCTCATTGGCTAACAGTGTTATATTCCGTATTTAGTTACGTGGGCGATGTGAAGTCAATGTGGGCGAAATACTGCGTTTGGTTGCAAAACAATGAAATTCAGAATCGAAAGAACAAGAAAGACTGTAGATATATTTTATAATCTCTTTTAGTGAGGAAAATAAGAACAAGTAAAAAGTTCGTATTTAAGAAGTTGAGGGAAAGGTACCCTTTGACAAAGCGTCGGACGAGAGTTCAATAGCAGCAGCAGTCACATGCTTCGTTTCGTCGCCGGGCCAGTGTGTCAGGAGCGAGCGACGTGACTCTTCTGCCTCCGGTGTTGAGTGGCACTCCTTTTGACTTTCCCGTGTTCTTACACGCCTATCGGCTCCAAATGGCAATTTTTTGAATATGCGGGAGACGGTCCGATTGGTTGATTTAATTCTTTTCATTTTTTTCGAGTTTATCCCAAACGGAAGTATCTGCGTCGAGCCTATGCGTGGACGTGTAGTTTTCATTTCGAGTCGGGGACTCGTGATGATAACTTCCGTTTATCGAAGCAGGGCAAGATCTCATCTTGTAACAGCTCCTCCAGATCTTACCCTGATTTGATGTTTTGTTAGTAATGTTGTTGGTGTGTGCGAGTGAATGTTTTTTTTTTTTTTTTATAGCCCATTACGAAGTCTTGGAAGCGTGCTGGGAGTTGCCCGCGTGTTTTCCGTTTTGCTGTGTTTTGGCTATTATTGCCGGAACTGCAGTCATCTGTGATATGATGCTCCCCTGACGAAAGTGTAGGAAGCCGTGTCAACGGGTTATGGGGGATTTGGTGGAGCGGAGATGGGGGTGGGGGTGGAGGTGACCGGCTCATGTATTGCAAGTGATTTGGTCGCGGTACGAGCCGACGAATATGTCCCCGGTGGACCCAATCGGTTTCGCCGTTTTTGTTTTTGTTTTTGACTTGGAGCACCATATCGTTAGTTCTGGTGACTTCGAAGTCGCCTATCCAAGGCAGATGTGATGAGTGGGCTATTGTGGACTGAGGTCGGTAGAGTAGCACCTTGTCGCCGACCTGTATCGGGTCCTTGAAAATCTTATGTTTCAGTTTGGCTTCTATTCTGTGGTCAGCCTCGTTGTTTGCCAGAGCAACTCTTTGGTGTACCTGTCGGAGCAGGGCGTTTATCTGCATGCCGTAAGCACCAGGATTGTTGTTGATGATATCTTGACGTGGTATCTTTGGTAGTCCGATATGTGGTTGACGACCAGTGATTATGTAATGTGGAGATGCGCCGGTGGCGGTGTTGGCCGTGGCATTCATGGAGGAAACTACGGATTCAAGCACGTCCGTCCATTCACAGTTTCTATCTTCGCAGATGATGTAGAGGGCGTTTTGAGGGTCCGGTGTTGCCGTTCGATGTTTCCCGAACTTTGTGGTCGCCATGGACAGTGAAGTTCCGGAGTGATCGATGTTAGGTCGCAGAAATCCTTGTAGACCTCGCCGGTGAAGTGGGTTCCTCGGTCGGAGGACACGATGCGGGGGATCTCCGATGACGGAGGAAGAACTGGTAGAGCCCGCGGGTTGCGTCGATTGCACGGTCTCTAGCACATGGTATGGCCATGAGATGTCGGCTGAAGCTGTCTAAGATAGTGAGAATGTACCGTTTACCCTTTGAGAGGGGCATTGAGACAAAATCTATGTAGACAACCTCGAATGGTTTTCCGCCTCGCCTACAATGGCCCATGGGCCAGTTTGGGTGCCTGCCGTAATTCCCCTTACGTTTAGCGCAGGTTTGGCATGAATGGACGTACGCCTTGATGTCGCGATTTTTATATTCCCACCAGTAACTGGATAGGTGTTCCTGCATGCGGCTGATTCCAGAGTGGTTTACACAGTCATGAGCCTGGTGGAGATATTTTGCGCGGAGCTTGTAAGGTACCACCAGCTTGGGTGTGTTCGCAGCGTCCCTGATCATTAGTACAGACGTTTCCGGTTCCAAGTAGAATTGATGCATGAGTTTGTTGAAAAGTGCAGTGCGATGATCGTTGGGGTCAAGTATGGTAGTGTCAGGTCTTGGATCTGTCGACTGGAGGGCTCTGATGATTTTTGAAAGTGTATCATCAGAGGCTTGTTCGGCCGCAATACCCATGTGGTCGGCGATCTCTTTAACAGGGATGGTGGAAGTGGTGTGGAAAGCGAAGAATGCATCGGCGTTGTGTGGATCACTGTCTTCTCCGGGTAAGGTGGCATCAGTGGTCGCTATGTGAGCTTGAGCGTGGGGAGAGTGAAAACAAGGACATCTGTTACCCTTGAAGCATGTACGGCCTCGTAGATAGTTTCTGCATACTGCCGGGTGGTCGGATTGGCCAGTGCCTCTTTGTGTCCGGCTGTGCTTCATGTTGGAGGAGGGGCCGGTCTGATTGTTCCTGTTGATGGTGGTTGGGTCGCGCCTGTGCGCCTGCCGCAGTTGCTCGTTCAGGTCCAGCAATTGTCGCTTTACGTCGGCTAGTATTCTGTCACTTTCAAGGCTGTGAGGCTTGCCGGAGTTTGCAGGTTGGCTCGCAATCAATGCGGTTGTTTCAACGGAGGTGGTCATGTCTGTTTTGATGCCGCGATCGAGAAAGCGTTGCGCGTCGCTGGCAATACCGCCCGCTGAGTAGTGTCTATCCATGGTTTTGACGAGGTGTGGATAAATGTTGGGTGCCCATGCCTTGATCCTTTCGCTCATGAGCATGGCCCCCATTAGGGAGAAAGCGGTGTCGGCCGTCATCTTGGCATTTTGTTTGTCCAACTTGAATCTTGCCTTGATGTGGACTGTGGCCTCTCGGATTGTGTCTCAAGTCGGCCTGCAAAATCAGTGAATTTCTCCCCGTCACAGCGCTGGAGGGCCCATGCCCGACTCAGATGTTGGAAATTCGTCATCTGGTTCCCGTGAGTGGAGACGAGGTAAGTTTTCAGTTCCTCGAACGTGGCTGTGGATTGTTTTGAGTCTTCCATCAGCTGGAAGATGCCTTCGTTAAGGAGTTGTTTTGCCAGTTTGACGAATTCTTGCTCCATCTCGGGGTATTCGCTCAACTCTGGCTTAACGTGTATCGTGTAAGCTTTGCTGAGGTGGGTGATAAAGCGGTTGACGTCATTGCCTGGTTCGAAGGCCCGGATGGATTTCGTAGCGTAACGAAGTGATTGCTGTCGCATTAATAGTTCGTAGTTTGTGGCGTATCGCGGTGAGTGTGAGCGATCATGTGTTGTAGTCAGCAGAGCGGCTAAAAGTTCGTGAAGGTCTGCTTTTAGTTCGTTAATGATCGATTGTGCTTGGAGGTTGTCAGCGCGTTCCATGTCGATTTTCGTTTGGAGAATCGCTGTTTTCTGTTGCTTGATGAGTTCCAGAATTTCTGAGCGAGAGAGGCCTGAGTATTCCATTGTTTCGCTGCACGCTTGACACCAGTGTTATATTCCGTATTTAGTTACGTGGGCGATGTGAAGTCAATGTGGGCGAAATACTGCGTTTGGTTGCAAAACAATGAAATTCAGAATCGAAAGAACAAGAAAGACTGTAGATATATTTTATAATCTCTTTTAGTGAGGAAAATAAGAACAAGTAAAAAGTTCGTATTTAAGAAGTTGAGGGAAAGGTACCCTTTGACAAGGCGTCGGACGAGAGTTCAATAGCAGCAGCAGTCACATGCTTCGTTTCGTCGCCGGGCCAGTGTGTCAGGAGCGAGCGACGTGACCCTTCTGCCTCCGGTGTTGAGTGGCACTCCTTTTGACTTTCCCGTGTTCTTATACACGCCTATCGGCTCCAAATGGCAATTTTTTGAATACGCGGGAGACGGTCCGATTGGTTGATTTAATTCTTTTCATTTTTTTTCGAGTTTATCCCAAACGGAAGTATCTGCGTCGAGCCTATGCGTAGACGTGTAGTTTTCATTTCGAGTCGGGGACTCGTGATGGTAACTTCCGTTTATCGAAGCAGGGCAAGATCTCATCTTGTAACAACAGCCTTAAAAAACTAAGTATGCACATGAAAAATGCCTTTGTCGCTCAAATGTGTTTGAGCCTATTTTTCATTTCCAGAACCTATAAAATAAAAAAATTCGAACCAACTTACCAGTCAGAATTCCACACTCAGAGAGATGCCAATCAATTCCACGCCAGTTTAAACTTTGACTTTCCCGCGCGACCTAACCTTTGACTCAATAACCTTTTGGCATACTCAATCTCTCTTTTAAACAAACTTCTCAAAAATTCATTTACTTTACTTGAGAAAGTGAAATATATATTCACTACATATTAGTAACAGTAACAAACAAAACTTTTAACAATTAACAGTTCAAGGTACGCAACTTCGTACAACTTAAGAATATTTTACATAACACTCGTATACACACACTAACATTTGAACTGTAAAATCGAACACTTTTGTACGTTGAACAGCAAACTGTTTAATTCTTACAACAAATCATCAAAACACTGATTTAAGCATTCAAACATACTCAACAACAAACTACATGTCTTATTATACCAATATACAACAAATCACCAATTCATAACTCATTTGTATATATTTAAATTGTATATAAATTACCGTATTGTTGTGTATTTTACTTGTCTTTGTTTTTAACTCTGCTTTGCATGACCTGTTCTAAATGTTCGTTTATTATTTGTTGTGGATGAATGTTAACGAACACGCCACCTAAAAATTCCTTCTGATTTAACCAAACACATTCACTAATCTCCAACAAACCAGTCCAGCCATTCCCTTCCGACTTCTTTCATCAACATGGGATATTACCGCTTACTAGACTTTTTTCTTTTTCTGGCCATTTTCTGTAAAACCTATAAATAGTTGTGCGTGGAAATGCTAGTCGATCAACGACTATGCTTCGTTCGAAGTCACTTAAATCAACTTTCTTTCCCATCCTAATGCGTGCAATGAAATTCAGCAGGTCAACATTACTAAATGCTGCCAGGTTATTGGTTGATTAGAAATTTGGGTAAAAGAGCATTTGTTCACATAATTAGTCAGATATTTTAATGCAAGTCAATGTTTTCGCAATAAGATTGGCGGCTGCTGGTAGAATTTTCCAGGTATATTTATAATTATATTTATTTAAGATATTCGTCATGCGATTTTCAACAATATATACCGTTATTAAAAATACATAATAATTTGTTTTCGGGTGCTAGATTTTATGATATTTATGGACTTGGAAATCAGCACCGCATATCAATGTCATTTTCATACCTCAAGCTGAAGATCCCTTGAGGAGTGAAAATGGCAACGATAATGCAGTGCTGAGTTTTTTTTATCCACATACCTAAGATAAAGCATAGGCAAAGATCTATAAAACTATAAAATCAAAGCTCCTCATCATACTTAATGAATAAATTAGGAAGAACAGGAGTCAAAAGAGGATCCTATATTTCATCATAATTGTGTAAAGAAATAACTTAAAGATGGTACATACCTAAATAACATTTTTAATTGTGGTTTTGACATTTTCATTTGACGTTCAAAAATCTTTTCTAATCTAAATTTATGGTCTCTTCTCGTCTCTTCTTGCGGTTACATCAAGCTGTTTCAATGGTAAAACAATGAGAACTAGTAGCCAATCTAATAGTAGTAACAGCAGTAGTATTAATTTTGGATTTTGTTGAGAATATCGAGATTTATAAGCAGCAATAATCAATGCATAGACGAATGATAGATTTATAAATGTGCAAGATAGATTCTGGCGAGAAAAATGTCTGGATCGACACAGCAAACCTAGCTATTGATTCTATTTACTTACTCCACTTCATATAATATAAGTAGAAAAGATGAGACTAAGTAAGCACTATGAGTTGCTCGTCAGGAGAGTAGAGCCAGCTATGGTAATGAAAGACAAAAAAGATCTCTATGATAATTGAAGGATAGCGTTTTCATTTTGGAATCGTTAAAATTTAGAAGCCCCAGTTAACAACTGATTAGATACTATTTTCAAGAGCAGCTGCCAGTTTTACTTTTTTACTATTATTAAAACAGGAGTTGTATCATCAGAAGAAATACCTGGTTGGAAACTGATAACATTGGGAAGGTCGTTGATGAAGGTAAGAAAAGTGACAAGGATAGAACTCTGGGTCGACCTCTCATTAATATGAAATGATCTAGAAGAGTGTCCGTTCAACACGATTTCAGTCGTTAAGAACGATTAGATTAAGTCAAATATCTGGTTAGAGACTTCGTATCCCGTGAGCTTGTGGAGAAGGTCAGCATTCCAAACGCTGTCAAACGCCTTCAAAATATTTAAAACCACAGCCCAAGCCTTGCAGTTCTCATCTAAAACCAAATTCAGTAATAACATCGACGGTTAACCAATTCAGCGTTGAATGGAGATTTAGGTACTGTGGAATCCATGTACGATTCCATCCCTTTGCGTGTGTGCGCGCGTATTGCACCCCTTCCTTTCAAGTTTGGTTAGATATAGCAGTAACCGCCGACGTGAGGAAGGCTGGCTAGCTACTCCTGATACCGTCTAGAATCAGAATTTGAATTTTTCCCGCGCATTTTCTGACGTCACCGACGAACAGCGTTTTCAAGTTAGTCGCGGTCTGATTTTCAAGCTAGAAAGTCAACTCATTTATTCCGTGCCCCTAACCCATACGCGGGCTGGAATATCTTATTCTTAACTAACCAAAACTTCAACATGTCGTGTGATTATAACTTTTCTTCTTCTACTAGAAAACGTAGAGTTACGACACTACCGACATCACACTTTTCCAAGACCAATTCCTCGTCTTGAAGTGAACAACATATTTGAACCTTCTTCATTTTCTACCAGAATCTACGACACTGTCGTCACCACACTTTTCCAAGACCAAATTCGTCGTCTTGATGCGAACAACTCAGAATTTTCCTTCAACTTTTCATACACCTCTTTTGAATTCTAACCTTTACGAACCAGTTATAAAAAAGATAACATTACACACATATTATTAAACCTCGCAGTGAGTACTTTTCCTATTTGTGTACGCATACACCTTTCGTACAAAAAAAAAAAACAATATTCCAGAACTTTCATTCTGAAGAAACTTTTCCCGCCTTAGCCATCTTGGTTTTTTCGTTTTGGCGCGGAACTTTAATATTCTATTAGTCTCTACATATTACAAACTGCCTACAGGCTAAAAACAGACCTTACCTTTTCTGATAGTCTCCACTGTTGAGACAAGATTATTTGTTATTAAAATAAAATTTCATATATGTTTTCCACCGGATTCGTTTTGTCGTTTTCTCCTGGCTATCTATATTTTACTATTTTTATGCATGTGTTAAATGACCCTTTTTCCTCACTAAAGATCACTCATTTAATATTTTTACTTTGTTTGTGGATTCGGTAGTCATAAGTAGTGTCTGGCACAAGGCCACCTTTTAGTAAACCAGCACTGCATGCTACCGGGCCCGCAACAGTACTTTGCCAAAAAAGGGGAAACAGACTGATGGGATGATAATTTGAGAGAACACTGGTTTACCAAAGTTCTTATAGACGTGTATGATAGTTCGTATACTTAATTTTATGCGCATTGGGGAGTCCGTACAGACAAGTTAGAGTCGAGTTT